GGGCCAGGGCTCTCAGGCCCCAAATACCAGCTGCTTACTGGCCACTGCAGCCCAGTCTTGCAGATGGACACTTATCAGAGAATGCCCCTGGGGTGCAGCTGATCCTGACTGACCCAGGACTCAGCACCTTCCTCTGGTTTTTGCTGTGGGCTGACCTCACCCCCAGGCTCCCCCAAGGTGGCCTCACCAAGGTCCAGAAAGCAGTGATCTGCTCAGAAGGTGGGGTGGGGGCTGCCTGGACACCAAGCTGCAAGGACCCGGGAAAGGCCCGAGACAGGCAGGCCGGCCTCCCAGGCCCTGGGGGCAGGAGTGAGCTGAGGGAGGAAAGGGGATGTGGGGTCGGCCGGGCTGACCCCTGTTCCCTGGGGCCAGTCCAGAAGGAACCAGGAGTGGGCACAGACATTTGGGCAAATTCCCTGCTGAGTCCCAGGGCAAGGGGAACTCAGTGGAAGAGCCATGATCTCATTCTGGTACATACTGTCACCTGCACTTTACAGACGGGGACAAAGACGTAGATCAGGTGAGGGGCCAGGGGAAGATGTCTGCCACATGTCCCCAACAGGTGACAGACTCCAGATGGCCAGCCAAATGGTATCTTGCCTCTGAAGGGCCAGGGCTGCCCAGGAACAGGGCCCTCAGCCTAGGTCTATGGGCCTGGAGGCTGGGGGCCTCAGGAAGAGGCTCGGGAAAGGACAAGGAGGACTGGTCCTAGGCAGAGGGAACTGGGTAGCCCAATGCAGCATGAGAAACGGCCCAGTAGGAGCCTTGGGCGGTGGGCTACTTCCCAGAGGTCAGGAACTGGAAGCAGAGCCAGGTGCCCAGTGCCTACGGGCAGGATGGCAGTGTTCTCTGAGAAGCTGGCCATCTTGTTTCAAAAAGAGAATGACCATGGTGGTGGCATCCACCTGCCTCTGCTGTCCTGTCCAGTACACAGAGGGCAGCCTGAGCAGTAGATGACTTGTGATGAGGGGCATCTTGAGGGGCCTGTGGCCTTCTCACACTGCAGTCATATCCCTGGAGACCGTGAAGCCCACCCTCTTCAGGAATAAATGAGGAAACAGGACGGGAGCTGAGGGGCTCAGCGAGGCCCTTGCAGAACCAGGACTGGACTTTGCCCCCCCAGCTGCAGACGTCAGCCCACCAGCTGGCGTTGCTATCAGAGGCCCCCAGCCCCTGGCCCACCACCATGCCCGTGTGCCCCAGCGGTCCCCCGAGTTCTCATGCTGAGTCACAGGGAGCGCGCTGTGGTTCCAGGCCACCGGAAGGTTGAGCAAGGCCCAGCCCTTCCCTCCAGCTGAGGATGGCGCTCAGCCCGTCCCTGGGCCTCACGGCCTCACAGCCAGGGCCTGGCCACTGTCCTTGCACCCTTGATTCTGGCCTGGCCAGGGCCATGGCCCTTCCAGAGAGGCTTCCCTGGCAGGGGCAGGACGGTTGTGACCTCTGTCCCCTGGCTTTGGGGCACTCTGGGCTGAGGTTCGAGGGGGCTATGATACCAGGTGACAGCTCCAGGTACACTGGGGAGCGAACCACGCTGAGCCCCGGTCACCGGAGGAGGAGAAATCAAGGAAGAAAGTGTGTCGGCTTCTGGGGTCAAAGGTCACAAGGTGCACAGAGCTCTGAGGTCTGGTGAGAGCTCGCGGGTCGGGCTAGATCAGGTGGACACCCACCAGAGGACACTGAACCATGTTCCAGGCCGAGGAAGAAGGGACAGAGGCCGAGCAGGCTGGACATGAACAAGACCAGTGATGACCACTAGAGAGGGGCTGGAGGCTCTGTCCGGCCTCTGAGTGGAAAAGGGGCCGTGGGGGCCAGGGGAGAATGAGAGCCAGCAGAACTAGGGGACAGGGCATTCCTGCAGGTTGCGCCCTCGCCTGCCTCGTGGGTGAGCACACCAGGGCAGCAGAGACTTCTGTGCCTGGGGGCCTGGCTGGGACCCAGGGAGCCACAGGGCCAGCCACCAGCTTGACAGGGGGACTGAAGGACAGAGGGAACCCAGAAGGTGGGTGGAGGTGGGGACGGCCTCGCGTGGGCCCAGTAGGACCGAGGGGAGCCCCAGACACTGAGGGCTGCAGGTAAGAGTGTCTGGAAGACTGTGAGTGGAGGGGCCACCCCCGGGAAGTGTGGACCAGGCCCCCGGCAGGACTCAGGAGAGCTGGAAGTGCTCAGAGCTGCACAGGGAGAACAGGAGGGGCTGTGGGGACCAGCCCGCCCAGGAGTGCTCTGGGGCAGAGGCTGGCGCTGTAGAGGCCAGGACTAGAGGCCTAGCCTGGAGTGTGGGACGGGGACACGCCGACAAGGCGCCTCTGAGCTGGTGGGACTGAGGAAGGCCTTGGGCAGTGTTGGGCCCAGAGCCAGGCCCCCTCAGCCCCGCCTGGGCTGCCACCTCGGGCCAGGACTGGGGAAGCAGAGCACCACCCGCCGCTCTCTGCAGAGGACTGTCATCATCCACACTCTGCAGGAGACCAGGCAGCAGCAGAGGGGACAGGACATGGTGGCAGGGGCCAGGGGCCAGCTGAGGCTGGAAAAGCTGCGGCAGGGAAGTGCCCGCTCACTGTCCAGCCATGAAGTCTCAACCAGACTCACGCCCTCCCCAGGGTGACCTGGGGCCCAGATGGGCTCTAAGGAAGGGCAGGGGAAGCCTGATCATCCCCACCACCGTCCCCAGCTCAGGGCAGGACAGGTGGAGTGCAGCAGCACACGAGGCCGGAGGGGCTGCCCGCCACAGCAAGAGGGGGCTCCCAGCAACTCCCGTCCAGCCTCCCCTCACTGGACCACCTGCCCAACCCAGTGCAGGGGCACAGGTGTCTCTCTCTGGCCAGGCCCAGCTGCCCCAGGCCGGGCTCCACTGCAGCTGGGGCTTGGAGGCCCCTACCCTTGCTGAGGAGGGTTGGACGCCCCTACCCTTGCAGGGGAGCCAGGGAGGCTGCCTCCTGTTGTGGGCCTCCCCGCCCACTGATGAGGCTTGAGCTCAGCTGCCTCCACCAGGAGCACAGGTGGAAGACCCTGCCCCAGGGGAGACCCCTCCTGGCAGCACCTGCTGCAGCTTAGCCATGGGAGGCGGTCAGGCCCCCCACATGGCGGTTATCAAAGTAACAATTCAGGACCACGGGATGTCCACCCGCAAAGGGGCCGAGTCTAAGCCTGTCCCCAACCACTGTAAACATGGACTGGCAGGCTCAACACAGCAGCCTCAGAGTTAAAACAGGAGCCTTCTAGAGAGATGTAAGAGTAGAGTTTTATCCCAGCACTGGAGAGAGAGAGAGAGAGGGAGAGAGAGAGAGAGGGGGG